GACAGAGGGAGAAGAAAAAAATCTCCACAATTTTCATATATTGGATGATCGAGGACTAAAAATTGTAAAGCTGTTATCATCTTGACCACTTGTACAAAGATTCTTAATAAAACACAACGGCAAAATAAGATTCATGTAACCGATCCCAAATGGTTGGAATAAGACTCGGATGATGATGAAGACGACAAACTCAACCTTTAACAGCCGTTTTTGCATAAATTTATAAATTGAATTTGAGTCCTTGGTCCTTTAAAATGATGTTGGCAAGAGCCACAAGCTAACACTTTTCTTTTACAAAATATGCACGGTTCTTCACATATGAAAATACATCATCATGGGGAATTATAAGTACAAACACTAAGCTGCACTACCGTTCAATCTGCCGTTGTGACAATGTTACTGGATTTCGAAAATATCAGTGGATTTCTGCAAGTTCTAAACCAACAGTTTGAAGGTAGCAGAGACGACAGGCTCGATGGCGGTTTTGTTAGGCAGATGCGAAAGACAGATAGAAGTGGAGGAACCAAGCTATGAAAATGGCAGCCGGAGCAACAGATGTGGCAGCGCCAGCGTCTGGAGGTGGGGCCTGTCCACCACCATTGTCAGAAGGTGGAGCCTCTGGGGATGGGGCGTCATGGTTGGCTGTCACTTGAACTCCCAATTTCATTCCCCCGGGGCAGTGCCCCTCGATGCTGCATACAAACCAATAGCCCCTTTCTTCCGATAGAGCAATCTGATCGGTGCCGGAGCGGTGTTGCTTCAAAACACCTGTGCTCATATTGCATGATCTGTAGGCGCCTTCGGTCACTTCCCAAGTGTTGTGCTGCCCCTTGACATAGTTGAAAACTAGAAAATCGAAAGAAAGGCATAAATTGAATTGAATCGAGTCGAAGCGAATTGAATTGAATCATAAAGAAGGGATCGGGGGAGATACCAAGAGTATCACCAACGCTGAAATTGTACTTCATAGACCATGACAAATAGTTGTAACCTGTGGTCCAACCATCTTCATCGCCCACGATGTAAACAGCCGCATCCAATTCGATTGCACGCTCGAGCAGCAGGAAAAGAAACAGCCATAGGAGCGACGAGGACGATGACGATGATGAGGATGAGAACTTCGGAATCCCAAATACCTTCCTCACATCCATCTTCTTCCCAAATGACTTTTGTGAGGTAGGTAGGTTTACTTTAATTGGTTTTGTGGGAACATAACCTACCCAAACATAAAATGCTCTAGGCCTTCCTCACAACCAAGTCAGAGGAAGTTGTTGTGTGAGGTCCTTGACCACGAATTTTTCTTGCCAACTTTTTTATTTTTTTATTTTTTATTTTGTGCCCACTAACCTTCAAGATTGTCAACGGTATTTTCCCATTGAACATTTCGAAGAGTGAATATTTTAACTTTGGATGAAGTTTCTATAAAGCCCATCTCATATAAAAATAAAATAAACTCTCACCTCAAATCTTTGTCTAGAAAGCCCTTTCGGTATAAGGGCCTTGTATAGCAAGTCTTAGCTTTGCTATGCCCCACTATAACATTTGAAGTGTATCATGCAAATATATCATTACATCATCTTCATGGGTATTGTGCTATGGCCCATCGTCTGCCATGCATAGAAAGGCTTGAAGTCCTCTTGGCACTATTACCCTGATATTACCTCCTACCCTCGGTGTTGGGGATCTTCCAAGTGTGTTAGCCCTTGCATCATGACTCAAAAATATACCCAATAATTGCCATGCATAGAAAGGCTTGATGTCTGCTTGGCACTATTAACCTGATATTACCTCCTACCCTTGATTGTGGGGACCTTCGAAGTGTGTTAGCCCTTGCATCATGACTCAAAAATATACCCAATAATTGATACATAGTTTGAGGTGGAGAAATATGAAAGCAAAGTGTTTATGAAAATCTCACAATGAACGTAAAAAAAAAAAAGAATAAAAAATATACTCAATGAAGGTCGGTAAAACGAATTTGGTGATTTTGCTATCAAAATGGAGATTGTTAGGTTTCGTGATAGTCAAATCACTACACCTATGTTTTCCTTAAAAGATTGAGGCTATTATGGTAAAAGGAAAAGGGACGTTCCTAAGGAGCGAGAAAGAAACCTATACAACGGAATCAAAAAAGACTTAATACTTGCCTCCTTTTGGGTCATCCCTTAGGGATCACGAGAAGGGATCTCCAAGAAGTAGATAGTGTCTCCAAGAGAGACATGGCCTTCTAAAGCATGAAAGATAAAGTTGATTGAACGTGGTGCTCGGTCAAGGGGTTTAGAAGGAAATATCAGTGAGATTTCTACTAATGTTTAGAGAGAGATATATCTCTCATAATCCAAAATTATCTTTATTGTGATATTGGATTTCTATTTGCTAAAGCTATAGAAATAGCACTTAGGGGTAAACCACATAAATCGTATGTAGTTGTGTAATTTTCGTATCTAACTTTATTTCTTACAATTGATTTGTGGATGAATTAATATGCTTCACATTTACTCAACTACATATATGATCTTGGGTGGGGATCCTAATATTTAGGTTTCCTAGTTCTGTGAGCAAGGGATTCCCGAGGACCCCACAAGGTAACGATACATGAGAGAGAGAGAGAGAGAGAGAGAGAGAGAGACACAGACGAGTTAGGAGAGTGAAACATGAAATCAAATAAGTACATGAACACGAAAATTTACATTTAAAACGAGAAAAATTCATCAAATGGGATTTTATGCAATAAGATCATGTACTTTTAGTAAAATCAAACTATAAGTACATGAACATGAAACTTTACATTTAAAATAAGAGAAATTCATCAAATGGGATTCTATATAATGAGATCATTTACTTTTAGTATAAGGAGGTCATCAGTACTTATAACTATCCGATGTGAAATTTAACAACTTCCGTGTGCCACAAAGTTTGACAAGAAAAAATTTAAACTTTAAGCTTGAAACCACCTAATTTCACATGTAATGTTGAGATTAATTGTGACCGTATTGTATCATAGGTGAATGGTCTCATTATATACTTATTTTTATCCAATATATTTATAATTTGAGCTATCTAACATTATACCCAAGGTATAATTTGATAAATTTTAAAATCCATTTTGATGTGTACTTTAATTCGCTATTTGAAATTTGAATAAAAGAATGATGGGCTATTTGTAATTAAAAAAACATGGGTAAGATGTTAAACAGTTCAAAACTTAAATGGGTTTGACAAAGTTCCAAAAAACGAAAGGTACATATGTTGAGGATCTTGTATTCTGAGGAAATAGATCTGCCAAGGTGGAGTCAAAAGGACGACTCCAGAAGGCCGTTAAAAGCCCGACGGCTCAAAAGGATTCGATATATATCTGTACATAAGGTGTTTTGGTAATTTGTATCTTCTATCTGAGACTCAATATATATATTGTTGTGATGGAAAGGTTTTTTTTAGGGTTAAAGAAAAAAAGCAGATCTCTTTGTAATCAGAGAGAACAGACAGGTGTGAGGAAGACAACTATTGTAACCCTATTCTCCATTGTCAGTAAAGAAGCTTTCATCTCCCCGTGGACATAGGCACGTTGCCGAACCATATATATCTTTGAGTTGTGGTTTGTTATCTTTTTCTTTTGTTTTTGTAACTTCTTGTTTTGGTGGATTGTTTTTCGTTTCTACATAATAAAGGTGAAAGATAAATTTGAGAGAAAGAGGAGGAAGGAAGCAAAAGCCGAGTTATAATCACCAAGAGAGAAGGTTACTATTGACAAGTACCCTAATAGATTCATATAAGAGTCCGAAGGCAAAAACTATGTACATTTTATAAGGAATGCACATCGTGGTGTACATGAATTCAAATTATATATGAATAAATATACATAACCGGTGTCACGCTTTCATGACCAGTAATGATGAATTTATTTAGGTATTGCGAGTGAACAAGTTCAGTGACAAAGGCCAGAGATATCCCAATTTTGATATGAACATGGACTGAAATGGGTGGCGCATTCTTGAAATCCACTGATATTGCATATAAAACTGACATATTTCTCCGATGAATTTTGCGGAGATAGTTACCATAGAAACTTCTGAGTATTTAGATGCTATTGACCTTTTAATCCCTCAAGGGCCACTGTTCTTCTTGAACAAGGCAGATGCTTCACTGTAAATAGCCAACACACTTGAGAAAATTGCAAGGACCACGATGAAGATGGCAAGTATCATATCTTTCTTTGTAGCAATGCCATGCCGATCCCTATAAAATATGATCAAATGTAACAGAAAATAAATTAGAAATTGATTCCCATCACAAATCATTTCCTCCCTCCCTCCCTCCCATCTCTCTATGTATTACAATGGTATTCAATATGTATCTTGCATATTTGCATAAGAGTACAACGATATGCAGGCTACGAGCTTTAAGACAATCAAAGGCCTTTCGTCAGCTCAAACCATGTGCCTATGGCATATGAAACTTTGATTTACAGTGTTATAAGCATCATATAGATGCCTTAATAGGTATCAGTATATTACTTATGTGCACAAGGACAGCAACAAGTGTGTCTACATTCAACTGGACACGAAGTGTCGGACACTGCCCTTTTAAAATAATAGTATCTGACTCGACATATCCATAAAATGACATACTATAAGATTCCCTGAACCATTTCAAGCTAAAATATGGTTCATGTCTACTAACAGACATGCTTTCATAAATGAAAGCATCCTGAAGCAGTTATCATTGACGTTCAATTCTAATCGGTAATTCATAATCTCATTCTATCTTTCGGAAATGTGACTAAACTTTCAATTGCCCTTATGTTTAGTGCAGACTGCCTTATATACATTTAAAAACAAAACTCATGGTTCCATAGCAAAGAGCACAAAGAATGTTACCTCAGAGCAACTGCTGCAGGGAAGATTAACCCAACACAAACACCAGCAGTGCCTCCACTAAACTGGAAGACGATCCAGATGCTAGGAATGAAGTTTGCTCCAATAAAAATGCAGACAATCATGACTGCTGTGAGGATGGTAAACCTCTTGTTATCTACGACCAAAGGCTTCGCGGAGGGGAAAAGAAACCCATCCAAATTTAGCCGTAATGCAAAGAAGATAATAGGAGCCACCAACATGACATGAATAGCATAGCAGACTCGAACCAGGTAAGTTAGGAATGAGGAATATGGGACTCCTAAGTCAACATCAAAGTTGGCTAACACATCATCCAAAATGGACTCCCCAAAAAGGAGGAAGCAAAAGAAGCTGGTAGCGATGTACACAACCATGCAAAGAATGAGAGAAGTACGCACAATAGAGGGCATCTCCGATTTGTCCTCAAGTTCCTTGGCTATAGGATGAACTGCAACAACCCAATATGAAGGTTTTAGCATCAAGAACTGAAGGCTTTAATAGAAGTTTTAATCTCTTCCAATGATTCAAAGATGATATGTGGGCCATTATAATTAATGTCACTATGTTCTACAATATTTACACAAGTGACTGCAAAACAGCTAAAATAACCAAACAAATCTAAGGGCAAGAACAACATAGAGCGTGTTAATGGAATGAGTATGGCAAGGAAATAGGATTGCACCGAAAGAACAAAAAGCATCCGAAGTTTATGCTGGGATGGTTCTGTTTCATATTAAGATCCTTATACAATGATCAATGTCATTCACACAGTTCATTAAAAAGGAGAGTAGGATGAACAACTTTGAAAATGTAAATGTTAGATTACAATCATGAATGTAACTTATTTTCAATGGAAAAGATACTCAAATGGAAAATGTTGTGATTCCAAAAATAAAGATCAGATTCTGGATATAATGAAAATATCTTTAAGAGATACCCAGAAACCGTTTGATAAATTTCCAGAAATTCCCAAATACTCCGGTTGTCGAGAATTAATTTATCTTATAACACGAATCCAGTGAACAATCCTAAATAGCACTTCTTGAGAAGCTTACTTATACCACTGCTCATTTCTCAAATATAATTGCAAAAGTAAATATTCAAGGAGAATGAGAAGGGTAAGAGGAAGGGGAAGGGAGGAAGAGTACCCTTGTTTCACCAAAACAGCCGCAAGACCATTTTGAGAACAAAAGAGAAGATTCACTCAAAAATGATTTTGTAGTGTTCTAAACAAACCCCAAAAGAAATTACAAAAAAAATTTGAGTAAAGATTTTTCCAGCTTGCTCACCATTATAATGGCAAATGTAGGCCAAGAGGACAACAGGTACAGCTGTGAAGAGCTGCAGGAATGATGCCGTATCAGTCACATTTGGTAGCCATCTTGGCATTTCAGTATTTCCATTAAATAATTTCACAGTGGCAATGCCTGCGGTGATGATAACAAACACTACAGCCAGAGCAACCGATAACGCTGATGTATATCTCAGAGAGTCTGCAAAGATGACAAGAAAATTATTCTCTACACAGGGTAAGACTTTGTATTCTTCGGTATCACTCTCTCTCTCTCTCTCTTGCATCTAATGTGCCACACAAACACACACATAAAGCAACACAAACATATATATTGATTCTATAAAATCAACCATAGCTATGAAAATATAGAATGTGCACACGACCAGGTGTTCATAAACTGTCAAAGGTGATAAAACCAAAAACCAAAGGGATTATATGACTTCCAAAAATAAGATCAGGTTGAGCAGAATATTCTACTTAAATAAAGGGATTACCAAAGATAAATGAGGCAATGTTATTTTCTAGTCACAATTGCAATTTGGACCAAAAGACAATTTGATGGACTACCATTTACAGGGGAATAAATAGCAATGGTGTCCAAATTATAATTCAGTCCCCCAGTTGCATTGGTAAAATTCAAACTCTCTCTCTCTCTCAAACAGCCCTCTCACCATCACCACCACCAATCCCACCATCTCTACCACCACAATCACACCGTCCCCACCAATTCCACCATCCATGCACACAATAAGTAATTGCAATTCAAATTAGAACGATCAAACACCCCTATACAGAAAATGACAGCACCAAAGTGCAATTTGGTCAATTACAAGTTTAGAAAAACATCATTTGATGAAATTTGACAATCAAAATGTGCTTAAATTGCAGCTTCCCTAAATTTAAGAGTAATAGACAAAGGCTGAAGCAAAATTAAATAATGTGCTTACCAACTCGTTTGAAAGATGCCAATGGAGCTAATATAGCAAGTGATGTAAAAAGTAGCACAAAAGTGCGCCCGTTCCACCAACGTTCACCAAATAGACCTTCCAAAACACCAGAGTGATGTACCCCACTTGAAGATGTTCCAGAAAGCACATCGCCTGACAAAAAGGTCCACAAATATTCACGTATAGGTAAGTAAGTCTAATAAAATATTCATCTGCATAAAAGTTACAAAAAGAAAAATGTTTAACATTTGAATCACTTAGAAGAAATTTCTGTTGATTTTTACGCAATTAGGCGGATGCATGCTAAATTGTGAACCATCTACCATAATGTGTTACAAAAATCATAGTCCAATGCATCTTTATCAAAATGAAGGAAAAAAATTGTAATTTGGCAGCTAAAATAAGCACGATAAAATCCATTTTACTAAAAAAATGAGGTTATCCCAAAATTTACTGAATGAAATGAGATAACCTTTTTTCAAGGAATCAAAGTGCGTTCAGTTCAATTTGCATACCATTCCGAAGATTTAGGTTTCTAACATAAGCCACAAAAACTCAAGTACTTGTATCAGGCATTTCCTCAGTTGAATCATAAAATTGATCAAGATAACATGATATAGGTATCTAAAAGGATTCAAAAACAGAGAGATGCATAACAAAAAGAAATCCTAGCAAATGAGTTGATTACCATAAAAGATGGTTCAGCTCAAATAGACATCAGCCATGAGTCACAAAGGCCTAAGCTAGTATACACACACAGTATGTCGTGCCCATATAAGTGTGCGTGCATATGTGTGTTCTCTTTCATGTAAGTATGGATTAGTATGTGTAATTCTCTAAGGGTGCACATACAACACACACTGAAGAGTGAAGATCAGCATTAGCATGTAAACAAAAAAGATGGACAAAACAACATCTATTCCTCAAATTATCAATGAAAATTGGAGAAGAGAGCATACCGATGATGATCATAAACACAAATAGAGACCCAAGGTTATTAATAATGATACATATATGCAGAACAATCCCTCCGGTCCTTCCAAAAGAATCCTTCAACAAACCACAGTAAGTAACTGAGTTTGAAGGCTTGCTGAACTTTAACATAGTCCCCACTGTAGATTTAGTTAAGAAACCCATGAATAATATCATTGCAATTCCTGGCCCGAGCCCCAAAATCTTCATTGCTGCAGGCAACCCCATGATTCCAGCTCCAACAATACTTGTTGAAAGATTGAATACTGCACCAGAAAAGGATGCTCCATTGAACTCACCAAGTTCCACATCCGAGTCACTATACTTTAGAGGAAGCAATGGGGCTTTCTCATCTATAATATGATTGCTTTTCCCATTGGGTCTGTTCTCCTTGACAGGAGAGAAGCTTGCCACAGTCATGTTCTTCAACAATCTGTTGAAAAATATTGGATATCAGTTTTGAGTGTAGATTAATTTGAGCTTAGAATCAAATTCAACAAAGTATCAAGGAAAAGTATAAATTATGAAAAAAAAAATGTAGAGAAGGAGATGTCATAAAGTGGAAAGAAGAAGAATAGAGTACAGACCTGACCAACTTTTGAAGATAATCAAGAATCTATTTTGCCTAAATGTAATTTGTCATGAAACTAATTAGTATGCAGGATTAGTGACGATTCCAAAAGCCAACTCAGCTTAATTTGAAAAGTTCATTCAAATTTTCAAAGGAAACGGTTTCTATGCGGCTAGCTCCCTTATTGTAGAATTGCAGGCTTGGCAATAAATACATGTTTAAAATATCATTTGATCTTAATTTTTACAGAACGTATAATCTTTAGCATGGAGATCATGAATATGAAAATAAAAAATTGAAAACTAAAAATAATAATTATATTAAAAAAACATTTGGAGCATTAGTTTTTAGAGGGACCACCTATTCGCATCCACTTTAAAATTGTTGTTTTATACCTCTGGACCTCAAATTGTAGAAATGTTGTACAGCCCGCATGAAACAATTTTCCATTTTTGAAGTCTATCGAATAATGGTGTATAGAGAAAGTGAAAAAAAAGAAGCTAAGGATAAATAAAATACTCAACCAAAAAAAAAAGAAGGGTGCACTTGGAAAGCTGTAGAGGTAAGGTGGGCCTTCAAATTTTATCATGGTATATAATTTTGATGCAAAATGTTATTAGGATTATCTCAAAATCTATTTTTATATCTAATTATAAAATTGTAAATTTAAAAAATGGTTAAAATCAAGTAGATGTATAAGCATATGAAAATCTTGAAAATGGATAGAGTAGATAATATGTCGTAAAATGCACCATTTATGAGACTTAAAATCTTTTAATTTTTCACGATCATACATCTCGACATCGAGATGATCAATCAAAGGGTTTTTTCAACATTAAAAGACCAGTAATGAACCGGGAAAC